CTAGATTTTCACTAGGGTTGTGACCCAACCCTAGTGTGTAACTTAATGGGTGTTTGATTTATTGCTTGTTTATGATTGGGTGTTGATTATCTAGCCTAGTTCTTGCTTTTNAACCCTAGTGTGTAAACTTAATGGGTGTTTGATTTATTGCTTGTTTATGATTGGGTGTTGATTATCTAGCCTAGTTCTTGCTTTTATGTGAAGAATTAATGGTTGCAAAAATTATTTCATGCCTATTTGACTTGGTATCTACTTGAGAAAGAGAGACTTGGTCTAGGAAAACTTGGCTAGCAAGAAATTGGGTCAATCGAGAGATTGATAAGCCCAATTAAAGGGTTGAACCTAGAGATAGTAAAACCCGACTTGAGTATCATCAACTGTTTTGTTCAATACCCATTTGGACTTGAGAAAGCCAAATTGGGCAAAATTATTCTCTGACCGAGAGGTATTGAGTGGGTACTTGGGTGTTGATAGCTATAATACACCCTGACCAATAAAATAAGCTTTAAAGTTTACAACCCATTAGGCGAACACTTAGGTTAAGGTCATAGCTGTAGGCCTTTTATATCATTTGAAAAACAATCAAAACCACTTTCCTAGTTTAAATTCTTAGTTTGTAATCTTCGTTTAAATTAGACCTAGAAACAACCCAAGTTTGTGGAAGTGCAATTTGAGATAATTCAAACTCATACACTATAATATATATCCCTAAGACCCATTCATAGCTCCCTGTGGAAAATTGACCCCGACTCCTTGTTGGGTATTACTATTGCATCGACCGTTTTCATATCCTTAAATAGAGGAATGAAATTGGACGAAATCAGTGGACCCCTCCAACCTTACTTCGAGTCGGGTAAATCCCTCCCCCATCATCCTCACCTAATCGGCATCCATATCGGAGCACGTCTAGTAATCATCCTCGGCTACACGTTTTCCTTTTAAGTCGTCCATCGTAGAAGAACTTCGGTCGGTCATGAGGCCGATGGCTCATCCCTCCTCAAGTTATCAGAGACTCTCGCTGATGGCCCTTTAGCTTCAATCGTGGTTTCAGGAAGAGACATACCATCTACGGCTTCAGTCGATAGCGGAACCACGGGAGATAACTCGGTGTCATCTTCAAGCTCTATCACTGAATCCACCGCCCAGGCAATCCCATCACTAACATCCACCGATCTCCTCTTACGAGGAACCAAATTCCCATCACTCGGCGATGATTCCTCTTCCTCGTCCACTAGATGAAGCAAAGGGGAAGCCGGAAGCTCCGTTGACGATATATCTGCGGGCGCAGAAAAAGCCGGCACGGAAGCAGCAGTAGGTATGGCCAACGAATGAGTAGACCTGGCCACAGAAAAAGAACGAACATAAGTAGATGACCGAGCAAGCCTAGCTGCGATCACAGCAGGAACAGACTCTGAAGAAGTAGCTTTCCTCTTACGAAACGCAGGAGGAGGAGCCGTCGGACTCCTCGAAGATCCTCGAACTGAAAAAGAATGATCGAAGGTTGTCACCACCAGTAATAAGCTATAGCGTGCAAGAGACCATGCAGTCAAAACAAAAAATAAAAAAAATATACAATCGACGAACTCACCATCCAAGGAAGAAGCAGGCCCGAACCTCTTGAGAAAGCTCGGCCACTCACGAATCCCCATAGTGTGAGGCACAATCCGGCCAACCCAGTTGGAAATGTCCATGACCAAAGGATGAGGCATAGCCTTGGCTATACAAGGAAGAGACAACATGTTAGAGCCTACGACTATAAACGGATAAATCAAATACCTTACATAAAAGACGGATACTTAAGAGCACGATTCCAAGTCTCAGGAATGCCGTCCGCATTGGCCACCACATCTTCGTTTCTGATGAAAAAGTAGTTGAGCCAGAACTGACGATTAGCTTAGTCGTCCATCTTCACCACCATACCTATAAAAGCTAGGGGCGAAGAGATGCATCAATTGGCGGAGTGTAACCTCGACCCCGGCCAACTCGGCGAATTTTGAGAGCATCCTAATAAGCTTGTAGATGTACAGAGAGAGTTAGGCCGGGCAGACACCGTAATAGCAGCAAAATGCCTCTGCCAATAGGAGAAGGGGGAGTATAGCCGACCTGAAAAGGATACGCATAGAACGCGCAATATCCGGGGCGTGGATTTGCACCACGATACGTCCTACTGAGACCAGATCGATATGGGTAGGAATGTTGAATTTTGCCCTAAGCTCGGCCAGATCGGCCTCTTCCATTACTGATTCTGAGATTTCATGCTCACCTTCAGGCGCCTTCAAGAAATCAAACCTAACTTTCTCACTACGAAGGATTATTTCCTCTACCGTAGGAATATTCTCTTCTTCAGTGGCGACGAAGACCCTATCAGCATGAGGGGGTATAAGCACCGCCAAAGGGATAGGGTTAGTTGCCATACCGGAAACAGAGGGTACATTAGCCATGTTGTTAAGGGAGGATATTCAAGAAAAAAAGTGTTAGAAGTAGTGAGAATAGCTAAAACAAGTGAGAAAATACACGACAATTGAGGAAGAAGAAGAAGATACAAAGTTCTTTGATGTAAGGGTTTCGTAACAATTGAAACGTTACCCACACACCCCTATTTATAAAAACTCAAGCGTTGAATACCAAGGAAATAATCATCATTACATGGGACTGTAACCGAAGCGGCAGACTCAATCAGAAGACGCACGTGAAACGAAGCAACGTATCGGAAAATCGCATCATAATGACGTCTATCGCCATAACGTCACCCTGATTTGTGGGACTTACAACCCCACGAGTTACGGCTCACAAAGGGACACGCTGCCAACTCGTCCCAATAATCACGGCTCATTCAGGTAGTCCAAATGCTTCAACCATATTATATAATATCCGCTTATCGAGCCTGCCTAAGACCGGCCTCAATAAGAGGAGGGACTAACTGTATAAAACAAAATCCGCCCTAGAATATTTAGGGTAATATAGCATCAAGGAAAGAGTAAGTCGAGGTCGGCCAGAGAGCAGCAAGATTCATGGTCGAGATGTCAATAATGACCGAGGTCGAGCACCGCTGATAGAGCAATAACGGCTAGTTTTTGAAATAGGATATTAAAGAGAATATTCTCTGCACTTATACTATTAGGGTTTGCTAAAGACATGTCTGAGATAAATAAGGAAATAGAGAAGAAAAAAGGAGGGGGGATATTCATTGTGATAAGAGCAGACTTTACAAAAAGATTCTCTCTCTTGTAAAGATACAAAGACTACCTTTTTATGAAGATTATTGCCCATATTATTCCATATTTTTTCACCAGATCCGAGAACGGTTCGAACAAATCTTGGATTTATCTGCNTCTTGTAAAGATACAAAGACTACCTTTTTATGAAGATTATTGCCTATATTATTCCATATTTTTCTACCAGATCCGAGAACAATTCGAACAAATCTTGGATTTATCTGTCATTCATCATTGTCAGGCAGAACATTCGTCCAATCCATCCTTTATTAAGTGAATCATTCCTCTTATTTACTTAAAAGCCACTTATTGCTATTTATTGCTAGTTACACCTCCATTATTGCTCATACTTTATGAACATTTTGTGCTTATCATTGTCAACACTTCACTGAATATGTCCCATCTCATACATGTTTTCAAGATTCACATCTAGAGTTATTATATTAACTAGATTTAATCCTTTATTATATAAATTTAATAGTGTAGCCGAAAGATATACTTTTTGGTCAAACATTTACCTCAATGGAATTAGATAGACTCAAGATAAGCATAAGCCAAATATACCTACAATTCTTACTTTGGGGCAAAACAAAAACCTCTCGACAAGAAGCATGCCAAAATGTTAGCTCAAGGCTGCTCTTTCCTTTAAAAATTGCCCCTTGTTAGTATAAAGCTTCCTAATTTACATCCAAAACTTTTACCACAAAGAAAAATCCTTTTCTATAATCCACAGTACTACCTTCGTTTCAGTTTATGTGAACTTATTTCCTTTTTGGTCCGTTCCAAAAAAAAATTACCCATTTTTAAATTTGGAAACAATTTTGCTTAAAATTATAATTCCACCCTTAATAAGAAGCTTTTATAACCACACAAATACTCTGGGCCCTTTTTGAATTGTTTAGGACCACAAATTCTAAAAGTCTTTATTTTTTCTTAAACTCCGTGGCCAGTCAAACAGGTTCACATAAATTGAAACGGAGGGAGTAGTACTTAAATATTATTACTACTACATGTTAGCAGCGCTGCAGCAATGAGCACCAAACTGCGCGCGACTCCCCAAAGGCTTTTGTAGTTAGTCAGTTAAATTCAGTCCCAAATTCAAGCCAGTAAAAGTCACTTCGAAAAGGCATTTAGAGTGGAAGATGAACGTAGATACGCTTTAATTTGATCTCGTATGATGCAGAAAGAGGAGAGATACAGTGATGGCAATGATCCCAACCAAGTATGATAAGAAACGAGTAACACTGCTCAACACATTCTGATTCTGCTTCTTTTTCTTAAAACAAATTCTCTAACTTCTCTCCAAAAATATTTTTTTTTAAAATATTTTGGAAAAAAATACATTTAGAAGTAATTTTTAAAAGTTTGGTCAAACATTAATTGTTGCTCAAAAGTGCTTTTCAAATTAATTAGTCAAACACAAGCTGTTTCTCAACAAAAGTACTTTTCAGACCAACACTTTTGAGAAAAATCACTTCTCAAAATAAATTGCTAGTCAGAAGTATTTTTCAAATTAATTAGTTAAACACAAACTGCTCCGCATCAAAAGTACTTTTGAAAAAATGAACTTTTGAAAAAAAATTACTTTTCAAAATATGTTGATATTAGAATCTTGGCCAAACAGGCTATAACACTGCCAAGACATAAGAAATTTTGGTTAAGATGAAAAACAAGAACGCTTTGGACATTCTCCCCACCTCAGTGTTAATTGTTCACTTCTTGACTGGAATGAAATTATAAGCTAATCATTGTAATGCAAAACAAACATAAACTCCCCTGGACAAATCAAAAGCAGTACGGCTTCCTACTGGCTAAATTCATAAGTCTATGTACATACTTTGTGATAGAAGCTAAACAAAATACCAGAGAATTTGTTTGCTAAACCAAAGAACAGAACATAGTCCAATTTAAGTCACAAACAAGAATTTCAAGTCTTCTTCCGTTAGTTTCCCAAAGGCCTCTGAAGAGCCACCAATCGTCCTGCAACCAACTTGAAAGTTTCAGTATGTCGAGGAAAAGAAGGGGAAAATGGTTTTGGAGAGAGTATTTGGGGGTGGGGAGAGTAAAGAAGGGAACAAGAAAGCAAAACGTAAAACAAAATGGTGGTCAATAACATCTTTCAGGGGAAATCATCAAATGGTCTATCTTTGGAAATTATTTGAATGAGAAAACACTGAAAGTTATTTGAGCTCTCACTGTAGCCAACTATCCTTTTCTTCAATTTTTGACCTTTTTCGGTTATTGCATAGGGAAGAGGAAGCAAAAGAACTAACTACAGTGAGATTAGGCACTAAGAAATTATTCTTTATGCTTTGAACTGATGAGAGTATCATCTGATAATTACTCACACTGTGAGGGAAATCGCACATGAAATAGTATATGTAGCTAAATGGAAGAAATCAAAGATTTCAATATAGTTTACTTCAGATTCAAATCAAAGGCAACTGAACAGTGGGATGATATACAACTGTGATACCAAAGAATTGATTGAGAGAATCATGAACAATGTGGATAGGGTAGGATGAGCTGCAACTAGACAAAGTAGAAGCGGGAAGAGAAGCTACTTGTGTACGTATTTGAACCCTCAACCTACACGGTGGAAGATGAGTATGCTCACCAAGTGTCTCACCATTTAGTTATAGAATAGTTAGAAGAAAACTACTTAATTTCCAAAATTTCTTGAGACCTCTCCAACTAAGATAGCATATATATATATATAAATCACTTCAACTTTCAACTCATCACCTATTTTCGTCACAATACATATGCAACCATCCATAAGAAAAAACTCACTTACCCTTCAAAAACAAGTTCCTTCTTCTCCTGCAACTTTAAGATCTTTTCCTCAATTGTATTCTCAATCGCAAATCTCATAATCCTAAAAATGAGAAAAGATAAAATAAGTTCCACTCAATAACATAAAAATACAAGAAATGCAAAACAGACCTAACAGGTTTATATTGCCCTATTCGATGGATTCTATCTTGGGCCTGGCGCTCCACAGCAGAATTCCACCAAGGATCCATTATGAAAACCTAGCATAGCCAAAGAGAAGCCACGTATCACCACGAATTGCGCGCTTATTCATCATATAAATACATGTGATGATGGTACTTGAGCTGGCTCTTTAAGTGCACAGACAAGTGAAGTTGGAATATGTTAAATGAACCAAACAACAGGAGATCTGAAGAGTGATAGAATAAAACACTAGATATTAAAACCCTTTGGCATTTGAAAAAAGTTGTCACAGTCGGTGTTGACAGAAAAATGAAAAAAAGCTTACATGTGATGCAACTGTAAGATTGAGTGCAACACTTCCAGCTTTCAAGCTCATAAGAAAAATGCTGCAATCTGGATCTTCAGTAAATCTGGTAACTGCTGCAGCTCTTGCAGCAATAGACATGGATCCAACTAATTGAACACAATTGATGCCCGACTGAAGAGTTTACAAGGCAAGCTTTTCTTGTTACACAGACTGAAAAAGAAAGGAGGAAAAAGTAGGAAGGGAGCAAAGATCTCTTTATATCTTACCTTCTGAAGAGAATAGTGTATCAGACCCAAAAATGTAGTGAACTGGCTGAAAACTATTCCTTTTGCAGAACCATCTCTTTCAATCATGAACCTGATTTCTTCCCTCTAGAATCAATAAAACAAGCAATGAGCATCAATCATGTACTCCACAGACCCCCTCTCACTTTGAATCTCAAGATGGGATCTTCCTACTGGATATTGAGTTTAAGATGTTAATTGGATTTCACTATTACACCATGAAACGGAAGAAACATAAATTAAAGGTTGAGAAGTCAGTTTGACAGAGAAAATATCACAACAAATTTGAATTTGAATTAGGTGAATTAAGTTCTTGAAAAATGTGTCACATAAATTGGAACGAAGAGAATATCAAAATAAAGGTACTTTATGATGGGATCCATCGCATTCAATAGCCAAAGTAATAGACATGTGTCTAAGGAAAATTCCTTTGGTTTGGTAGCCAACTTTGTTGAATTTCTTTGGTTTGGTAGCCAGCTTTGTTGAATTGTCAACATTGACGGAAAAAAAAGGAAAAGTGTGTGCAAATTGTCAAATTTAGTAGGCTTTAGAGAATGAGCCTTCGGCTATAAAAGGAGAGCTTTAACTCTCATTTCTACACACCAACAAAGAGAGAAAGAAAGAGTAAGGTTTCACAGACAAGGTATAAGAAAATAGTCTGGGAGAAAAATAGAGAATGAACGATATTGTAGTGAGATGAGAATATCAAAAGAGGGTTATTTCTTTTGAGTGTTGTAGTGGTCTTTGGAGTATTTTACTCGGACCTACAAAGTGTAAAATTCCTTGCAATAGTGATATCAATTGCTCGTCTTGAGGTCGTGGTTTTTTCCCTTATTCAAAGGGTTTTTCACGTAAAAATCTTGGTGTCGTTGTCACTCTTTTATTCTTGTTAATTACCGTATCTCGGTGCTACATGATTATTCTATTTTTATTAATGTGAATATTATTTCTGTAGGGGGTTTATTCCCAACAACTGGTATCAGAGCACAGGTTCTGCTCGTTCATAGAAATACTATTCACTATCGTTAGTACTATACTCGGTGAAAAATAAAAATGTCCGGAGTAAAGTACGAGGTAGCAAAATTTAACGAAGATAGCGGTTTCTCAACATGGCAAAGAAGGGTGAGAGATCTACTCATCCAACAAGGATTACACAAGGTACTAGATGTTGATGCCAAAATGTCTGATACCATGAAAGCTGAGGATTGGGTTGACTTGGATGAAAGGGCTGCTAGTGCAATCGGGTTGCATTTATCAGATGATATGGTAAATAACATCATTGATGAAGATACCGCACGTGGAATTTAGGCAAGGTTGGAAAGCATATACATGTCCAAAACGCTAACAAATAAATTGTACCTGAAGAAGCAGCTATACGCCCTACAGATGGGTGAAGGTACGAATTTTTTGTCACATTTAAATGTGTTTATCGGACTAATCACACAGCTCGCCAATCTCGGAGTGATAATCGAAGAAGAAGATAAAGTCATCTTGTTGTTGAACTCGTTGCCAGCTTCGTACGATAATCTGGCAACAACCATCCTGCACGGTAAGACTACCATTGAGTTGAAAGATGTCACATCGGCTCTTTTACTCAATGAGAAGATGAGAAAGAAGCCTGAAAATCAAGGACATGCTCTCATCATAAAAGGTAGAGGCAGGAGTTATCAAAGGAGTTCGAGCAACTATGGTAGATCCGGAACTCGTGGGAAGTCTAAGAACCGATCCAAATCAAGAGCTAGAAATTGCTACAATTGTGATCAACTAGGTCACTTCAAAAGAGATCGCCCAAATCCAAGGAAGGGAAAAGGTGAAACTAGTGGCCACAAGATTACGACAACACAGCCGCCATGGTGCAAAACAATGATAATGGTGTCCTCTGTATAAACGAGGAAGAGGAATGCATGCACTTATCAGGTCCAGAGTCTGAATGGGTGGTTGATGCAACAGCATCTTACCATACCACACCGGTAAGAGATCTTTTTTGCTGATATGTATCAGGTGATTTCGGCCTTGTGAGAATGGGTAACACAAGTTTCTCAAAGATTGCGGGGATTGGTACCATTTGTATCAAGACAAATGTCGGATGCACATTGGTTCTCAAGGACGTGCGACATGTACCTGATTTTCGAATGAACTTGATCTCGGGAATTGTTTTAGACCGAGATGGATACGAGAACTATTTTGCAAATCAAAAGTGGGAACTCACTAAGGGATCATTGGTGATTGCAAAGGGAGTTGCTCGTGGCATGTTGTACAGGACAAATGCAGAAATATGCCAAAGTGAATTGAACGCGACACAAGATGAGATTTCTGCAGATTTGTAGCACAAAAGAATGGGTCATATGAGCGAGAAGGGATTGCAGATTCTTGCCAAGAAATCACTCATTTCTTATGCCAAAGGTACAACGGTAAAACCCTATGACTACTGTTTATTTGGTAAGCAGCATAGACTTTTATTTCAGACATCGTCTGAAAGAAAATTGAATATACTTGATTTGGTATATTCTGATGTTTGTGGTCCAATAGAAATTGAAACGATAGGCGGTAACAAATATTTGTTACTTTTAGTGATGATGCTTCACGAAAATTATGGGTTTATATTTTTAAAACCAAATATCAGGTGTTTCAAGTTTTCCAAAAGTTTCATGCTATGGTGGAAAGGGAGACAGGCCAAAAGCTAAAGCGTCTCCAAAGTGACAATGGAGGTGAGTACACTTGAAGGGAATTTGAAGAGTATTGTTCGAACCATGGGATATGAAATGAAAAGACAGTTCCTGGAACCCCACAACACAATGGCGTAGCCGAAAGGATGAACTGCACCATTGTGTAGAAGGTGAGAAGCATGTTTAGAATGGCTAAACTGCCTGAGTCATTCTGGGGTGAAGCAGTTCAGATAGCCTGTTACCTAATCAATAAGAGTCCATCAGTTCTGTTGGCGTTTGACATCCCGGAAAGAGTTTGGACCAACAAGGAGGTGTCCTACTCACATGTTAAGGTGTTCGGTTGCAGAGCTTTTGCACATGTAACAAAAGAGCAGAAAACAAAGATGGATGATAAATCTGTTCCTTGCATATTCATCGGATATGGAGATGAAGAATTCGGATACAGATTGTGGGATCCTGAAAAGGAGAAGGTCATCAGAAGCAGAGATGTAGTCTTCCGAGAAAGTGAAGTTGGAACGGCTGATGATATGCCAGAGAAGGCCAAGAATGGTATAATTCCTAACATTGTTACTATTCCTTATACTTCTAACAATCCCACAAGTGCAGAAAGTACAACTGACGAGGTTGCCGAGCAGGGAGAGCAACTTGATGATGATGTTAAGCAAGTGGATCACCCCACTCAGGGAGAAGAACAACCTTAACCTCTGAGAAGATCAGAAAGGCTAAGGGTAGAGTCATGCAGGTACCCTACCACAGAGTATGTCCTCATCAGTGATGAGGGGGAGCCAGAAAGTCTTAAGGAGGTGTTGTCCCATCCAGAAAAGAACCAGTGGATGAAAGCCATGCAAGAAGAGATAGAATCTCTACAAAAAAATGGTACTTACAAGCTGGTTGAACTTCCAAAGGGTAAAAGACCACTCAAGTTTAAGTGGGTCTTTAAAATCAAGAAAGATGGAAATGGAAACCTGGTCAGATACAAAGCTCGATTGGTGGTTAAAGGATTCGAACAGAAGAAAGGTATTGATTTTGACGAAATTTTCTCACCTGTTGTCAAAATGGCTTCTATTCGAACAATCTTGAGCTTAGCAGCTAGCCTAGATCTTGAAGTGGAGCACTTGGACGTGAAAACTGCATTTCTTCACGGAGATTTGGAAGATCTATATGGAGCAGCCAGAAGGATTTGAAGTAGCTGAAAGAAAACAAATGGTGTGCAAACTGAATAAGAGTTTTTATGGGTTGAAGCAGGCACCAATGCAGTGGTACAAGAAGTTTGACTCATTCATGAAAAGTCAAATTTACACAAAGACATATTCTAATCCATGTGTATACTTCAAAAGATTTTCTGAAAATAATTTTATTATATTGTTGTTGTATGTGGATGACATGTTAATTGTAGGAAAAGACAAAGGGCTGATCGCAAAGTTGAAGGGAGATTTGTCCAAGTCATTTGATATGAAGGACTTGGGCCCAGCACAACAAATTCTGGGTATGAAGATAGTTCGAGAGCGAACAAGCAGAAAGTTGTGGATGTCTCAGGAGAAGTACATTGAACGTGTACTAGAACGCTTCAATNAGAAAGGTATTGATTTTGACGAAATTTTCTCACCTGTTGTCAAAATGGCTTCTATTCGAACAATCTTGAGCTTAGCAGCTAGCCTAGATCTTGAAGTGGAGTAGTTGGACGTGAAAACTGCATTTCTTCACAGAGATTTGGAAGAGGAGATGTATATGGAGCAGCCAGAAGGATTTGAAGTAGCTGAAAGAAAACAAATGGTGTGCAAACTGAATAAGAGTTTTTATGTGTTGAAGCAGGCACCAAGGCTGTGTGGTACAAGAAGTTTGACTCATTCATGGAAAGTCAAATTTACACAAAGACATATTCTGATCCATGTGTATACTTTAAAAGATTTTCTGAAATAACTTTATTATATTGTTGTTGTATGTGGATGACATGTTAATTGTAGGAAAAGACAAGGGGCTGATCGCAAAGTTGAAGGGATATTTGTCCAAGTCATTTGATATGAAGGACTTGGGCCCAGCACAACAAATTCTGGGTATGAAGATAGTTCGAGAGCGAACAAGCAGAAAGTTGTGGATGTCTCAGGAGAAGTACATTGAACGTGTAGTGGAACGCTTCAACATGAAGAATGCTAAGCTAGTCAGCACACCTCTTGCTAGTTATCTAAAGTTGAGCAAGAAGATGTGTCCTACAACAGTGGAGGAGAAAGGGAACATGGCTAGAGTTCCTTTTTCTTCAGCATTCGGAAGCTTGATGTATGCAATGGTATGCACCAGATATGATATTGCTCATGCAGTTGGTGTTGTTAGCAGATTCCTTGAAAATCCTGGAAATGAACATTGGGAAGCAGTCAAGTGGATACTCAGGTGCCTGAGAGGTACCACAGGAGATTGTTTATGCTTTGGAGGATCTCATCCAATCTTGAAGGGCTATACAGATGTTGATATGGCAGGTGACATTGATAACAGAAAATCCACTACTGGATATTTATTTACATTTTCAAGGAGAGATATATCATGGCAGTTTAAATTGCAGAAGTGTAATACACTTTCAACAACTGAAGCAGAGTACATTGCAGCTACAGAAG